AACTGATTAGTTTGTGGTAATTGTGAGATCTAATCTCAACCACAAATCAACGGATAAATTAGAAAATTAATAATTATGGTAGTTTGAGTTAAAATTATAAACAGAGGGCATTTTAGGTATTTTTAAAAAACTCCTCTCTCCTCTCTTATCTCTCCGACCTCCAATCTCCGGCCTCCGGTAAACATTAATCCGGCAGGTACCAAGTAATCACAAAGATACACAATGTGATATACATTGTGATATACTGTGATACCAACTATGATATCAACTCAAACCTTAAAAACAAATATACACAATGTGATTCACATTGTAATACACAATGTGATACCCATTGTGATATACTGTGATACCGATTTCACCGAAGGCCGGAGATTGGAGGTCGGAGAAATGAGAGAGGAGAGAGTAGAAAGGAGTTTTTTTAAAAATACCTAATATGCCTTCTAATTATAATTTTAACTCAAACTATCATTTCTCATTTGATTTATCCGTGAATTTGTGATTGAAATTGGACCTCACAGTTACCACAAACTATTCATTTCTCATTTGATTAGGCCCTTATATATATATATATATATATATATATATATATATAATAAGTTTTATATATCAATCTTTTATCATATCAAACTTTGTAATTGGTCCAAAATCATTAAAAAAAATATGTGAAAAAAATGATTATAATCATGAGGTGTATTATGAGAATTGTTTTATCATAATACATATCAATTTATCTTCTACATATATTCTCATAAAATATTTATATTCACTAAGCAAACATTGTGTTGTTACCTACTTTAATATAATTATTGAATATTTTTACAATTTGCTTATATTAGTTCATGATATACTCATGTAATCTTTCATGGGCCAAAAACCTCCTTGAAATCCATTTTTTTTCTACATGCGATTGCACAAAGTGGGACAATAATAGCCAGTATTATGACCATTCCAAATACATAAGAGTTTGATTGATTTGTTATTTTTTTCATTTGACTTGTCAAAAAATTTAGATTTGTTTTAGACAGTTCATAGTTTGTTTTTTCTGTACAAAAATCCTGAAAAATGAGATTTTTAATAAAATTATGTAAAATAAAAGATATGTATTATATTGATTATACTGTTAATTATATATAGAGTTTGATTTTAGATTAAATAAAAAATTGATTATATATATAACTA